TCTCTTGTCCCCTTCCCCCCCCATTTTCCTGTAGGTTAAGATAGATTTCCATACCCAATTGAGTGTGTATGTTATTCTCTCCTTAAGCCAAATCTGATGAGAATAAGATTCACTCATTCCCTCTCACCTTCCCCGTTTCCTCTCCACTGTAAAAGCCTTTTCTTGTCTGTTTTATGTGAGATAATTTACCCCATTCTGCCTCTCCCTTTCTCCTTCTCTCCCCCCTTAATTTTATTCTCCAGATATCACCCCTTCATCTTTAACTCACCCTGTGCCCTCTATCTACCTATCTATCTATCTACCTATCTATCTATCTATCTATCTATCTATCTATCTATCTATCTATCTATCTTTCTATCTATCTACATACATATAATTTTTTCCCTCCAACTACTCTAATACTGACAAAGGACTTGTGAGTTACAAATATCATCTTTCCATGTAGAATGTAAACAATTCAACCTTAATAAGTCTCTTATGATTTCTCTTTCCTGTTTATCTCTTCATGTTTCTCTTGAGTCTTGTGTCTGAAAGTTAAATATTCTATTTAGCTCTGGTCTTTTCATCAAGAATGCTTGAAAGTCCTCTATTTCACTGAATGTTCATTTTTTCCCCTGAAGGATTATGCTCAGTTTTGTTGGGTAGGTGATTCTTGGTTGTGATCCTATCTCCTTTGCCCTCCAGAATATTATATTCCAAGCCTTCCAGGCCCTTAATGTAGAAGCTGCTAAATCTTGTATTATCCTCAGTGTGTTTCCACAATACTTAAATTGTTTCTTTCTGGCTGCTTGCAATATTTTCTCCTTGATCTGAGAACTCTGAAATTAGTCTACAATATTCCTAGGAGTTTTCCTTTGGGGATCTCTTTTGGAAGGTGATTGGTAGATTCTTTCAATTTCTATTTTGCCCTCTGGTTCTAAAATATCAGGGCAGTTTTCCTTGATAATTTCTTGAAAGATGATATTTAGGCTCTTTTTTTGATCATGGGTTTCAGGTAGTTCAATCATTTTTAAATTATCTCTCCTGGATCTGTTTTTCTGTTCAGTTGTTTTTCCAATGAGATATTTCACATTGTTTTCTATTTTTTTCATTCTTTTGGATTTATTTCACAGTGTCTTGATTTCTCATAAAGTCACTAGCTTCCAATTGCTCTATTCTAATTTTTAAGGAAGTATTTTCTTCAGTAAGCTTTTGGACTTCCTTTTCCATTTGGCCAATTTTGCTTTTTAAGGCTTTCTTCTCCTCATTGGCTTTTTGGACCTCTTTTGCCATTTGGGTTAGGTTATTTTTTAAGGTGTTATTTTCTTCAGTATTTTTTGGGGGGTCTCCTTTAGCAAGCTGTTGACTTGTTTTTCATGATGTTCTTGCATCACTCTCATTTTCTCCTCTACTTCTCTTACTTGCTTCTCAAAATCCTTTTTGAGCTCTTCCATGGCCTGGGACCAATTCATATTTTTCTTGGAGGCTTTGGATGTAGGAGCTTTGACTTTGTTGTCTTCTTCTGGTTGTATGTTTTGATCTTCTTTGTCACCAAAGTAAGATTCTATTGTCTGACTCTTTGTGCTACTTGCTCATGATCCAGCCAATTACTTGAGTTATAAACTCTTTGTTAAGGTAGGGGTCTGCTTCCAGTGTGGAGAATGTACTGTCCAAGCTTCAGGGGTTTTGTGCATCTGTTTTCAGAGATACTTCTAGAGACTTGTAAATTTTCAGTTCTTCCAAGGTGCTATGATTAAGGGGGAGGTGTTTACTCCTTTCCTAGCCTGTGCTTTGGTCTATGAGTGACCAAAGTACTCTTTTCTCTCTTGGAGCTGTGAGGAGGATTCTCTCTCCAGTCACTGCAAGTCTAGTAGCTGTCTGACCCATTTGGTCAGACCTGAGAAGTCAGGCCTTCCTAGGTGCTTGGAGAGCCACCCCAACTACAGGATGAGAAAAGGGATAGGGAGAGAGAGGAGGCTTACATACCTTCCAATCTTGGCTGGAGAAGAGCTGTAGTTCTCACCTCTTTTACCTTTGAAACTTTTCAGATAAGCCTTAAGCATTCCAGCTTTCCATTCCCATCCTCCTGGGAATTTTGAGCTGCATGTACTAGAAAATGAGACCTTGAAACCAGGATGCAGGGACTCCCAAAGAAAACCAAGCATGAAGGCCCACAGGGCATGGACACCCTGAAATGGGGCACAGGGACCCCCAAAGAAAACCAGGCATGAAGGCCTACCTACCTGCCTCCCCAACATCCCACTGGGAAGGGGAAGGAACAACACAGGGTAAACTAGGATGCAGGGGAATAAAAGTCTGCTCAAACAGAGCAAGGTGCCTTTTCTTTGAGTTTTGGAGATCAAATTTCTAACTAAGCTTGTCTTGTTTAGAAATCCCCTTTACAAATCATTTTTCTAGATTACATTGAGGTCAGTCTGTGTTACAATGGAACACTAGGTGCTTTTCTTTAAGATCTCCTTCCCTGAATTTCCCATCCTAGTCTCCTAGTAGCTTCTCACTTGTCTTAGTATCCCAAGAGAGGGAAAAATGTGACCAACCCAGCACAAGGCGTCCCCTTATAAGAGGGTCAACATTCCCACTGACCGTCCAGAGATCAGTGGAGCTTCAGATGCCTCTGGCACTGACTGGGCCCTCCAGGGGTCTCTCAGCCAGGGAGACAGTAGGAGCAGAAAAGATCTGGGGAAGAGAATAAAGAAAAGGGCTCTTAGCTTTTATCTCAGTGGCCAGGAGAGATCAACAGAGTCCAATTAATATTTGGACTCCCGGGTTTTGGCACCTTTTTATGTTGAGGTTTAGAGTTAGGACAGCTGGTTTAGGTGTGAAAGAATTCACTTAGACCTTCTCTGTAACCATTGGGAGCTTTATTTTGTGAAATCTTCATGTATCTGAGGTTAGCAAGGAGCTAAACAAAGGGCCCCAATATAGGAAAAGACCCAGGCTTATATAGACAGAAAGCTATACAGCCTGTAAGATAATGATCTATTTTCATATGGGAGTTGGAGATTATGGACAAGATAAAAACAAACAGGATGAGGAGGATGGTTGACACAGGATGGGGAAGATAAATGCAGGATAAGGAACACAAGATAAAGGAAACAAAGGCAATTCTTTTGGTACAAGTTGTATAGCATTTCAAGATAAGGGGAAAAGGATTTGAGAAGTTCTCAAGTTCCAGGATCTCAAGGTACAGGATGGGCTACAGAATGATCCTCAAACTCCCTTAGGGGGCCTGGGAAAGTAACCCTTAATATTATTTTTAATCCCAGGGTACTCTTTGTCCCCACATCAGATACAAATAGTACACACACACACACACACACACACACACACACACACACATATACACATACATACATATACATGTAAATTATTCTATACATACTTTTATTTATCAGTTCTTCCTCTGGATGCAGATAGCATCTTTCTTCATATATCCTTTATAGTTAATTTCAGTATTTATAACAGACAAAATAACTTATTCACTCAAAGTCATTCTTAAAACAATATTGCTGTTACTGTATACAGTGTTCTCTTGGTTCTGCTCATTTCATCCCAACTACATTTTAATCTGGTTGGGTAGCCCTTGGAAGTGTTGGGGGCCATAGGCCCATATTTGACATCTCTGCTTTACACCTTAAAGCTGAATAGATATTTTCAAGGGATCTTTATATCTCCAAATCTTTCACCCCTTGAAGCCAATAAAGATAGGACAGTTTGGTGGATTCAGAATTGACTGAATGTGTGGATCTATTGAGGTCATTAGAGTGATGATGTCAACTTGAACAGAGGAGGTTCTAGCAGAGTACCCCAGGGATCTTGTCCTTGGCCTTGTGTCTTGTTAAACACATTTTTCAATGACATGGATAAAGGAACAGGCAACATGCTTATCAAATGTACAGCTGGAGGCCAGAGCGAACATGCAATGATCCAGAAAGGCTTCAATGGGCTCAAATGAGTAAAATCCTATTAGCTGGGATTTGACAGAGGCAAATGTAAATATTTGATTCAATAAATTGGTTTCACAACACACAGTAAAGGGGGCTAAGAGTACAGTTCACCTGAAAGAGATATGGAGATTTTCAAGGGCTATAGGTTCAATTAGAACATGAGAGCCAAACAAGCTCATGTGATTTCAGGTTGCATGAACACTGTATCAAAATCAAGAAGTGAGAGGCCTTCTGCACACTGCTCAGACCACTTCTGGAGTATGGTGCTTAGACCTGGGTGCCATATATTAGGAAGGATATTGGATGGTGAAAGGCTTGAAACACATTGAATGAACTGGGAATATTTAACCTAGAGAAGAAAAGGCTTGGGGAGAACAAGAGAGCTGTCTTCAAATACTCAAAGAACTGGTCTGTGGGCAAGGGATTAATCGTGTTCTGTTGGCCCCAAAGGCAGGACTAAGAACAATGGGTAACTGTTGCAGAGAGGTAGATTTAGACGTATATAAGGAAAATGTTTCTAACATTCAGAGCAAGCTCATGGGTTCCCTGGGAAATGGTATGTCCCTGGAAGTCTCCAAACAGAGGTTAGAAGATGCCTAATTGGACAGATGGGAGAAGGAATTCTTGTTCAAGTAATGAGTTTGGAAGAGATCAAATAGGATTAGATTTGAGATTACCTGACATTGCAAAACCTTAAAGCATTAAGTAAATGATATCTTCATCATCGTCATTATATTATTATATAGCCCTGAATATTTTTCCAACTCAGATTCCGTGACAGAACTTAACCAATTTCAAAGAAAATGTCTACAACCTAGGCAAAACCTCCCATTCAATCTTCTTGAGAGTCCTGGAGGAGGCAAACAGGGAAGAGATAAATTATCATGGTTATACAGATGAGGAAACAGGTTCAGAGAGTCATAAAGCTAGAAAAAGCCTTTAAGGTTATCTAGTCTAACGACCTCACTTTACAGAGAAGGAAACTCTCAGCTAGAACTGGGAACTGCCTCCCAGGGCTGGGCATGCAGCTCAAGTCTCCTGAATCCCACATACCAGGACTCTTGCCCTTGTCCCGTACTGTCCAGAGAGCGGAGCTGATGCCCACACCCTCTTCCTCTCTCCTCAGTCATGGATAAAGAAACTGGATAGGCAGGAGGAAAAGACTGTTGTGAGGAGTGAGCACATTGACCAAGGAGATATTTTCTTTTCTAGACTTGAAGCGGAGGACTCTAAGCCCAGAGGGCTCTCAGACGCCACAATAAGAGAGGCGGGTGGTGGTAGGGGCTTTGTTTCTTCCTACCAGGCATTAATTTCCTTCTCAGCTTCCTGAACTGGGCAGATGCGGGTGCAAAGGGTCTGACACGGCAGGGGATGAGTAGATTGTAGGTGAAAATTCCCAAATTTAAAGTTCTCAAAGGAGCATTCCAAGTTGGACATACGAATGGACTTGAGTGCCCAGAACTGAACGTTACAGACAAAAAGAGAACTTCGAAACGGGCTGGAGCGTTCCAGAAGGATAGTTCTTTGAGGAGTTGGGAGAGAAGACGATAAGACTGTTCGTTAGCTCGGGTAAAAACCTGAGGGGTGCTGGACTCTCTTCCCTCCAGGTCTGCTTTTAGTTCCCCGCGGTTCCAAAAGCGCAGCACCTGTCTACTCCAGAGAAAATTGACTGGAGCTAATGTATGCTTTTGGCCCATCATCGCCCACATCCCATTCACCAAGGTAGTGGAGGGGCGTAATGGGAGAAGTACAGGGAATAGGGCAGGGCACCTCGGGGCCAGTCCCTACTACTTATTGGTGGTTGGATCTTCGTCAAGCCGTTTTCCCTAGCTTGACTCGTTTCCTCCTCTAGAAAATGAAGGCTTGGACTAGTTGATTTCTAGAGGTACCTTACGGTTGTAAATCCCGAGATCCTTAGAAAAGACAGTCACTTCCTCTGCAGCCCACGCTTCCTCCCCCAATTTTTTCCTACCCCCCTCCAAGCCCCACACCGCTCGCAATGCCCACTCACCCACAATAATCCATCAGGAATCCAGCAGACAAAATGAACCTGAACCACCTCGAATCCAACAGTGCTGGGGGTCTTAGCTCACTTAAGTACCTTATCTCAGACTCCGCCCGCCTAAATCCCTCCCCTAAAACCACCTGCAGCATTGGACTCCATCCATCCTCCCAGTCAACTTTTCTCCTGCCTCCCTCCCCTATTACGGAAAGAGCGCCTTCCTGCTCCCCTAGCCAGGACGCGGACTCCTCCGGTGACGCTCGCAAGGTCGGAGGATGAACGGAGAACTAGAAGGAGGAAGCCCACGGACAGACTTTCCTAGAAGAAGACTGGTCTCTGTCCTAGGACAGCAGGAGGTTGTGGGAGACCTTAAAAGCGATATCTGATGCCCTCCCTGCTGCTTCCGATTGGCGACCAGTGCTGCCTGAGTACGCTGGGCTGCTCTGTCTAGGGGCCAGGAAGGTAGACTGACAGAAGGTTGCTGATGGGTTCTTTCTCTTTAGAGATAAATGAGGCAGGCGTGGCTACCTTGGGAAGCCTGAAACCTGGCCGCTGCCACTCCTCCTCTCCCTCAGCCTCTGGCTCCGGCCCAGCTTTTTCTCTGCCTCTCTCTGACTGGACTTTACCTCGACTAGTCAACGGGATGAAGCAAACTGGAGTGACGCCTCAGGCAGCCGGACCTCTTCCTTCCCCAAGATCAGCTTTCCCTTAGTGAAAAGAACACAGGACTGAGAGTCAGGAGACTCTGAGTCCAGCTCCAGCTCTGCTCCCTTCTCTAATGGGCCGTGTGGCCTTTTGCAAGCTGTCTGACCAGTTTCCTGATGGGCAAAATCTGCCTACCTCACTCAGGTGGCTGTTGGGGTGATATAGAAGGCAAAAGTGCTTTGCAAAGTTAAAATCGTGTAAGATGGAAATTATGTGTTACTATTATTATTAGCCCTCATTGTTCTTTGTGGCCAGTAATCCTCAAAGCAGTACAAGGGGACTCCATCATATGGCCTTGCTTTTTCAGAGTATGGAGGCTATAGAAGGTAATATTGATCATATTTTCTGGCATCCTGACCATTAAACCTCATCCAGATTTTCTCTTGGGGAATCTCTAAATACTAGCTCATCTAAGTCTCTAGGGATATGGGTCAAAGAGTCCCCAGATCCAGCACTCCATTAATTGAAATAGTTAATAAGTTTATCAAAGTTTCAAGATATAAAATAAACCCACATAAATCATCAGCATTCATTTACTTCACTAACAAAACCTATCAAAAAGAGCTAGAAACAGAAATTCCATTAGAAATAACTACAAAAGGTATAAAATATTTCAGAGTGTATCTATAAAGTTACATCCAGGAAGTATATGAATCCAACTGTAAAAAACTCTTTGCAGAAATAAAGACCTAAATAATTAAAGAAATATAGATTAAGTCAATGTAATAAAAATAATAAAACTACTAAAATTAATTTACTTAATTCATTCCATGCCAATGGAACTACCAAACAACTTATAGAACTAGAAGAAATATTAACAAAGTTCATATGGAAGGAAAAAAGGTCAAGAATATGAAGGGTAATAATGAAAAAAGTGGCAACAAAAAGATTATGTGAAATTTTGAAAGTTTTTGCATAAAAACTAAGAACTAAATGGAACTAAACATAATTGAATAGAAAGGGAACTGAGCTTGCTCTAAAATTGAGTTACAAGGTGAAGCTAGTATAGTTCACTCAATTTCTACTACCACTTGCTGTTTTAATTACCTCAGTTTTCCCTTTTTATTCATGGGGGAGAAGGCCAGCCCCCTCCCACCATTGGATCATTTATCTATAAGCCAAATCTATAAGGTTTTTAGTGTATTCATAATCAGAATTGCATAAGTCAGAATACAGATCAAACTACTTAGAGGACTCACCATGGACTGATTTTGAGAGGGGAGATTTACATGTCATCAAAGTAACCAAGAAAACTCAGCATAAATATAAATACCATGGAACAAAAAAAACCCAAAGCTATGAGAATAATTTTGATATCCCCACTTAATTTAAGCAGTATTTACTCAGTTCATTGTGATTTTAGAGTATTAGTCATCATAAGTAAAACATAGGATAGAATTAAGTTTGAGTTAGTTAACATTTCTGGAATAGGAGTTATGTAAGTTAGAGCTAATTAACCCACTATGTCTTAATGATTATATTGCTTTTAAAGGTTTATACTAACTTGGGTATTAGTCTTGCTCTGCCCCACCCTTATGAATGTATTGTGAGAGCTATGTTCCGAAAAACCAGTTTCTCCGTTTTCTCTCTTCTTTCACACTTAATGTTCGTAACTACTTGTGGAAAGCCCTAGAGCTCTGGTGACTAAACATTGCCTAAGCACTGGTGATTGATGGACATGTCCCTTGGTCAATTATAGAGTTTTCTCCTCTTCTGGAATCATAGATTGTACTATTTGTAGTAATATCTCAATGTCCATAAGAACTCAAAGAGTTAAAGCAGAGGGATCCTTGACAGTAGAGTAAACTCTTGGATCTAGCTACTTGGGGACTACTAATCTCCCTAATAAATTGAACATATGCTCAGAGCTCTGCCTCAGTGGCGTTTGTTGCACATTGGATTTTTTTTTGGGGGGGGACAACACAAAGCAATATGATAATAATCATCAGTATTATATAACATCAAGTCTCCTTGTAACCCACTCCCAGTGTCCATTTAATCATTTCATCTTGTCTTGAGTCCCAGATGTCCCATGTAGTCATCTAATCCTTGGAAATATCTTCTCTTGGACATTCTGGAATAGGCCTCATTCTCAGGGAAGCTCTGAAGGGTTCTCTGTTTCTCTGGATCCAAGTCACTTGTAGAGATTCCTTAGGTAATTCTGTTGAAATCTGCCAGTAACAAGACTTAATAGCAGTGAGTACAATCTCTTAAATTTGGTTTTCCAATAATTAGTTCACGTGGCAAAAACCAGTCCAAACCTTGTGGAGCTAAATCTATTAAGAGAAGAGCTGTGAGAACTTCAAATTAGGAACCCACAGTTCACCTGAGGATTTAGGAATTTTTAGTTTTTTATATACCACTTGCTGATTCTATCTCTATCTAAATCCTGTACCTAATAAAAGAATCTTAAAAAAAATTCATGTGGGTCTAACTTGTAAAATGAACTCTTCTGTCTTTTACAATTATCAGACAGATACTTTTAAAATGGGAAAATAATTTCACTTTCTTTACAATTATCAATACAATTTTATATATCCAATCCTTAATCCAATTTTAAGAACTTGCTACTAAAACTTACTCAAAGCCTAAATTTCCATATTAGATGCATTTGTAAGTCAATCATATACATATCTATATATCCTAGAAAACAGTCTAATCCTGTTGTTTTCTCAAAATCTACTATTCCATTTAATTAGAAAACTTTTACAGTATGTCTTTGTCTTATTACTTTGTCCAGAAGGAATTTTTAAAAAGTGGGAAAGAAGGGAGCTTAGTGGTACCAAGTTTCAAACTATTCTACAAAGCAGTAATCATCAAAACAATTTGATAATAGTTATAAAAATATAGAGGTCTATCAGCGGAACAAATTAAGAACACAATATACAGTCACTTAACCCCGATTGCCTCACCAAAACATACACACACATACCCACACACACACACATACAAGAACACAATGCACCAAGAAAGTGAACTTGGTAGCCTAGTTTTTTCTTTGTTTTTTTGGTTTTGTTTTTTACAAACCCAAAGAACCCAGCTACTGGAATATACAAGAAATAGTATTTTTCTCTTGTTTTAGTAACTAATTATTTAATCAGAAACAAGGTTCCCCCCCTTTTCTCCTTCCTCTTCCATAAATCAACTGGTATAGGAAATCTTAGGCAGAGATTTGCCCAGGCCAAGAGCTAATCAGATAGTAAAAGAAATTCTAAGTTTAGGCTAATAGGTGCATTCGTGGAGCTCATTGCACTTACTTGGGGAATGTGGATTCTCCCTTTTGTTAGACAGGTATGGAAATTGATAAGTCTCTTTGACTAAGATTTGGGTGACCCAAGTCAAGTACCCCGAGACCCTCAAAGTAATATAGCCCACCCTCTCAGTGTAATATCCATTCTCTCATTAATTGTTAACCAATCAGAG